AAATATGTTTGATTGCTTGTTAGGACTTTAGATTTACCCAGAACTACAATGCACTGTGAATATTTAAAGAAGCAGCATTTATCCTGGCTATTTTTAAATGCATGCTATTCTTACCTATAAAAACTGAATGTTGTAAAATGTAACAATTCTTCTAGCCAGTACAGAGTCAGCAACACCAAAATAGTAAGAAGTGCAGCTGAGTCAACTGAGGACAAAACTTCCTCAACCCATCTGCCTGGCATTACTAGTGAAATGCTGGCACTCGACCACTTTGGCTCTAAATCTATTACTAGCAAGTTTTAAACTGTGACCTCTCTTACAATGTGTTAGACTGTGCAGAAAACCGTATTTCAAGGCCAAGGTGTTTTGGAACACCTTAAGGCAGAGATCACCAACCTTGACCACTTTAAGACAGGTGGACTTCAACTCCCAGAATTCCCCAGCCAGCTTCCAAGGTTGGAGACCCCTGCCTTAGATCAACTAAATCTTTCCTGGGGTTTGAATAGCTATCCTCTGCCGTTGACAAGTGATCCTGTAGAAAGGCAAATCTGATTTTATTTACTAATCAATATAAAATATATTCTTAATCATTGTACATATATGCCCTTATATGATCCAAATTATTTTTTATCCTTTGAATTTTGGTTGCTGTAAATCTCTACATCACAATCAACCCACTTTATATGTTAGATATATCATATAACATGTGAGATATAATTCAAAATGTTTCTCAGTCATACTCAAACCTTCCTTGTTACACATCTATATTCAAAAATATCAGAATTAATCTTATCCCTAAAGTTGCTGACAAAACTCTTGAATTCAGAGGATAATGGTTTTATACAAAAAAAAAAAGTAACGGCATAACATGATTCTTTGAGAAACCAAGTAGCATGTAGGCAATTATGAAGTATAAATTCAAGAGTCTGATTTATATTGAATCAAGCCCAAACCCTTGGATAGTTTTTTTTTTCAATTTCCAGTAAAAAAAAAGTAGACTGCTAATAAAATCAAAAATCTAAATCGTGATTGTTTTAGTATTTGAATTACAGGATTTGTGTGACCATAACAAATAGTGATTTAGAAATATCCCAATAAAATCAAATTGCATGAATGTCAAACAGCACTTTTGTCTCCATAATTACCACCTGATTTTTCAATATAAATATTAAACTTTCTTGTTTTACTTAACATTATAATATTTGCATCTCATGGATTCAGTCAGTTAATTACAGTGTTTCTAGAAGTGGTTTTATCTATGAATTATTGCATGTCATTTAAGAACTAAGGGGAAAATACAATTTGTACTATGTAAAGTAAGCCTAAATTTTCGGCAATCTAGTTAATTCAGAGAATGTTAACGCTACTTCCCTTTCAATAGCTTTACTATACCTTAAAACCAAGTAATATTAAGTTCAGCAAAATCAGTGAGCAATCCTCAATTCCTTTAATCTTTTTTGTGGTCCCAAGAGTAAAACCTGGTTTCATGTTCCACTATTTCAGGATGGAAACTACCGTATATGAAAACTACAGTATAAACACAAAACAAATTCTCTGTAAAAACTTAAAAACTCCATCCATCCCATTTTGCATCTTTCATTACCATGTCCACCATAGATATAACCATCCATAAAAATTTCAAGTGTTGCTCTTAAATAGATTAATTTAGTACAATACTGATTTGCAAGATAAACAAAATACCATACTTGTCATCAGATTCTAACATTTCCTTTATATTTTTTATCCTAGAAATATACTTTAATACAGTGGTTCTTAACCTGGGCGGTATCGCCCCCCAGGGGGCGATTTCATTTTTCAGAGGGGCGATGGAACAAAAAGGGACAACACGGGGGCGAAAGAACAAAAAGGGGGCGATATGGGTGCGATGGAGCGAGAAGTTTTGGGGACACTGTTGAGACTTTTTCGTACAGTGAATTGCTGTATATCTGTCGTACAAAAACATCAGATTGCTTGGTATTAGTGGATTGAATTGTTTTCAAATGTTCCTCCAGCTAGCTTCAGTACAGAATGCCGTACATATGTGAATATACATCACTTATCTTCATGCGTATTGCGCAGCAGCCTCTACCCATACAGTGGCGCGCCATTGGCCAGAATGGGCAGGAGGGGGAGCGCTTCTTTCAAAACATCTCATGCTGAGTGGCTGTCCCCTGTGACATCAGCTGTAATGTCAACGTAATTGTTGAAACTAGGTTTATCAACGTCCATGTGTGTTTTTCTAGTGTGCGTGACTATATATACTTTCTTCGAATTTTAATTTAGTTTCAGAGTTTTCGTCTTGAAATTCTTAGTTCCTGCATTGCAGTTTGTTCTTATGCCCTTTTTATATTTCTTTTTAAATTTCACTTGTAATTCAGTCATTAAATGTTACTGTTTTTCTTTTCGGGCATTTCACTTTCTTGCAATTGAATTTTGTTTTCAATGGTCATTACATTTAAGTGTCTTGAATAAATAAGATAATAATGAAATACATGTATCACAAAGTTTGGGAATAAAGTGACGGGTGGCACCAAAATTTTTCACACAGTTGAGAAATGGGGAAAAGACTGGAAATAAATTATTTGCATCGATATGTCCTGATGACAATTTTAAAGAAAACAAAAAAAAGGGTTTGCATAAACTGAAGAATTATTTCCTATGTTGTGATTGAGAGGTTATGTTGGGGGAGGGGGCGATGACAACTTCCTCATTGGCTCAAGGGGGCGATTCATTCAAAAAGGTTAAGAACCACTGCTTTAATACATCACAAGGTTAATCCAGTGAGGTTGTTCTGTGTAAAAAAAACTCTTAAGTCTGTACTGTAATCTCCATATCACAATAAGAAAAGCTAGTTGGCTTGAATAAGTACTATTCTTCAGCCAAGGATTTTGTAATGGATTATACCTGTTACTACAGAGAAAAGCAAGAAGGAGATTCTAATATTATTCAATGAATATTTTTGTGTTTCTAAATTTTTTATCTAATCCACATCTGTATCCTCAAAAGAAATTAGTAATCAGAACAGGTAATACTGAGCAAGATAGACCAATGTTAAACAGTTTCATGTCTACAGATGTAAATAACTCACAATGAAATTAAAGAGCCTATTTTAGACCTGGCTTAGAAATCTTGACTTGTAATAAGAGTTAAGGAATAACTTTATTATATAAATTGTAGATTCCAAAACTAAAAGGGAAAATTATCAGCATTTATGAAGACAATAACAGTAAGTCAATGCACAAGAGCATAGAACTTCTGATCAACTGAACAGAAGTTCTATGCTCTGAATTTTAAGGACCATACAGTTTTTCTCCAGGATCATCTATCAACCCGGTCCATTAGCTCAATGGTGCTGCTAGTCATCCTCCTCTCTTTCCTTCTATCTTTCCCAGCATTAGATCTTTCTATAGAAAACTAGGTTTTCACATGTGTGAAAGTAAGATAATTTGAGCTGGTCATTTGTATAATATAATGGGAAAGACCCTGGAAGACAAGGCAAAGAAATGAGACCAAGGGAGTATCAGATAAAAGGCCTGAAGCAGGAATGTGAGTGGGGCAAGAGGCCCACAAAAGAGTTTCTTGGGCTGTAAAGGAGACAGGAGTAGGGGAATGTAATTTCAGATTTTCACATTTTGGTTAATACAGCTTTACAATAAATTAGAATTAGCTCATCTGGTTGTGTTTCAGGTCTACCTCATAAAGCTGACATTTGTGCCTTGAGTGAGAATTCTGGGTTGATTTGTTTGATGATTCACTTGTTTGTTTTCTTGACTGGTCATTCTTATGTATATGTACTAGTATCTTTAGTGAACTTAGATACAATATTTGCCATCCATTTAAAACAATTCTGTGAGACAGACTGACCTTCATCTTTGGCACGGGAAATATGATTACCCAAAGAACAGAGCTGACTCCAATATGTCCATAACTGTACTCAGTAATGCAATACAGGTAAAAACAAGCAACTTCATGTACTTATATACAATAATTATAGACTGAAGGAACAATCAATGGCCACAACTTCATCAGTTTAAGTTTACACATACACCTTTGCCTATCTATCATACATAGAATAGCTTCCAGGTATTGTACAACATTCTTCATATTAAAAGTTTAGTGGCATAAGACTTTTGAAGCTATGAATAACTGAACCAGTTAACTGGAATCCCTGTCCAACAGAAAAAATTGCCAGCAAATCTGTAACAGCACTCTACTGATTACTGAACTCTAAAGTAGTTTTCAGACCTATGTTCAGAAGGTTCATTTTTTTTTCAAGTATTTGCTTTAATTGTCTTCATCCTGACTACAATAGGGCCATCAAGGCCATAAAACAGAAACTTCTATCATCAATAAGGATAAAATGCTGAAAGTATATTTTTCTATGCAAACATTCAATATGCTATTTAATTCATCTTTAGCCCTAGTTGCCCACGATCCTGAACTGTATTTTAAGGCGCCCATCTGCTACTACAGCTTTAACTTGCAAAATAAAGAAGACACAAATTCCTAGTGCTTTGATCTATACATTTCACTTTTCCCTCCCAGTTAAGATTATCATTAAAATTATTAATTTATTGTTTCTCTCCTTTAAATCGGAATGCCTTCGCAAGACTTAGATGAGACAACTAGAACAAGAGTTTACGACCTGGCTTTTTGAGCTTTCCAGAGGGGGGAAAAAAGTGCTTCGAAGAAGAAATACGGCATACCGTATTTAGCCACTAAGATAAATCTCCCCAAGGAATCCAAAAAACTACTCATTTCGCAGTCCTCCAACTGGGCTTTATAAAAAAAAAAAAAAAAGCGAGCATACATTTCACTCCCCCATTTTGCGGGTCCTCCTCCTGTCCCCTTTCCTTAAATTCCGGGGGCGGGAAGCGGCAGCCGAGGAATGTCACTCGCTTTTCCTCTCCTGACGACGAGCCTTTCAAAGAAAAGGGGCCGGGAAGGGAAGCTTCCCTCCTCTCCCGGCTGCTCAGCTCCAGCTAACCAGATTCACCCACCTAAGCTGCAGCTGCAGTGTCGGACGCAGCAACTGGAGGTGTGGACCTGCAAGGCCAGCGCATCTCTCTCCCCGCTAGCCTCTTTCTCTCAGCGCCGCGCCAGCTCTCTCTTGGGTCCCGGCATTACCTCGCGGGGTCTCCGCGCAAGCTCCCACCTCCTCCTCCTCCGTCTCTTGCAGCGAAGATACTATGGACCCCCTCCTCGCACGGCCTGACCAGCAGTCCCGCCTCAGGCCCAGAAACCGAGAGCGCACCACCAGCACTGATGGGGGAGGGTGGAGGAGTGACAGCCGCGCAGCCAATCGCACAAAGCGGCTACCTCACTCCTTCGTCCAACTGTTACCCTCGGTAGCGGGGAACGGTGCGGTCTCAGCGCAGCCTATAGCAACGCACGCCCCTCATCATTCCCCCGTTAGAAACCGGAGAGCCAATCCTGGCGAAGATGTATAAGCCACTCCCATAGGCCGACAGCATTTCTCTTTCTCTCTTGGCAGCTGTGTCAGTGAGCCCGAGGTCGGGATTCCCAGCAGTGGAACTGAGGCTGCTGGGGCGGCCATCTTGAAACGGGGAAGACGGTTGATGGTTTGCCATAACGGGGCACGAGAGATTCCCTCTGGAGATACAGTAATAATTGTAAGGCGACGTGTTTCACTTGGATGCAGTGCCTTCAGTGGAGTTGGTTCCTATCGTCTTGTAACAATACTCGCGAACACCTTTGTATTTGTTTGCAAGCTCTAGTGAAGACAGTGACTTTCAGTCTCAGATTAACCCGAAGTCTCGGATCAAAAAAAGAAACAAATGGAGTCGACGTGGTTGTTGCTGTTTCCAGCAAAAATAGTCCCTCAGCGAACTTAGCGAAGTTGAGGAAATCGCGGCGAAACCGGCCTCGCCGCGCAGGCGTCTTGGGAATAGCGTGGCGGAGCGCGGCGTTTCATTTGCATAAAGTCCGTGATGCATTGCGGATAGGAATAGAAAGGAAAAATGTTTCTTTAACCCCTTAAACGTTGCCCTTTCCTCTGCTGTCGTTCACGTGGTTGGCATCAAGATAAGCCCAGTACGAGCTGGTGCTATTAAAGACGTCGGGAACAAGAGTTGCTGTAACGTCAGAAAAGGTCGCTTGTAGGGAAAACGAGTGGGTTTCGGTTTCTTTGTGCGGATCATAGGACTGTTCTCGAGTGGAAAGCAATTTTGCCGGTTAATGCTGGGAAATTTCTTGAGATCCAAATTCTATTGAAAACGTGTTTTTTGTTTTTAAAAGAAAAGCATTCTGTTCTCTGTAAAAGTGAATTTCCCTCCCCCCCAAAAAATCTGATTATTATTTTTTCCACTGATTTCCTTAAGCCAAGAAAACTAAAATCACAAAATATGAAGACTATTTTATTGCCGCAAGGTATAAGATAATGTGGGAAGTCAGAGCCCCCCAGAGAAGGAAATATTAAAAGGACAGAAAAATATATTTTTCCTCAAAAGGATTTTTAAAAGCAGAAACCAACCCAACCCCCAAGTCTCTCTCTTTGCCCCAAACAGGAGCCAGCCCTATATAAATGCAAATGTAATCATCAGAAAGTTGGAGCCAGAAAACTCAAGAAGACAAAGAGACCTAAAATCTGCATACCTCACCTAAACTCTAGGAGCCATTAGCCCCATCACCAGAGAAGCAGGATATGACTTTTGGGACATAATAGGACTAACCCATTACCATCAAGTATACCAGAGAGGCACACCTAAACTCAGGTCAGAATAGTGATACAGGAAATAACCTTCAAGATCATGCCACAGGAACAGGAAGCTTCCAAACAAAAGGCTAGAGAGGATATAAAAACCTGCCCATGTGCTCAGGCCCTTCTCTCCTCTGGTCTTTCTTGCAAGAACCATCTTTCTGCTTCTTCAAAAAACTGTAACCATCTTCCCAAAGCAGTTGCCATGTTGCTTATTTATTTCCTGCTTGGATGAACCAGGATGAAGACTTTACTTTCAACAATAATTTTGAGAGAATTTGATAGAGCAGGGTTTCCCAGACAATGCAGAGGTGCAGTCCACGGTTGTGAAGAAATTTTTAATTCTATTACAATACATCCAACTTTCCCAAAGTTTTATTGTTCATTTGTGCTAATTTTGTTTTGATTTGTAGAGGTAACAATGTATATTAAGCTACATTAAAAGAAGGTGTGATGCACAATTTGAATATTTTAATTTTTTTCAAAGGCATTTGAAATTGCTAGTGTGTAGTGTCTTGACCGTTGTTGGTTCCTGTATAGATTCTATATTTGTTCTCAATTTTTTTTAAATTTTTAAATTTTATTTTTAACCAACAAGACAAAGCAAAACATAACACGCATAGACACACAACTGGGCATATCCATCATAAATGATAATATGTACCATGTACTTTTTTATATTTCCAGCATGTTGGCGAATTATTCTGGAACATCTTGGCAAGTTTTGCTGGTGGAAGATGCCATCTGTAAAACATCTTCAACTGGTTTTCCTTGAATGCCGCTGACATAGTCAATTTTATATTTATTTCCCATATTTTTTCCCATTTCTCCAATTCTAAATTATATCTGAAATTTTTTGTCCATCTAATCATTGTGTCTTTGACAACTTCGTCTTCCATTTTATATCTCAATAGGTATTTGTATAAATTGCTAATTAATTTTATTTCTGTTCCATGTATAATTTTATCCAATTCTTGCGGTTCTTTTCTTTGTTGTCAATTTTAAGGCTAGTTTTTATATCTGCTGTCATTAATGTGGTCTTGATATTTAATCATATCCCCTTTTTACATTTGCATTTTAGCTATCAGTAAACTAAGGTTATGTTATGATTTATTATGCTTCAATTGTCCAAGCAGATCATTTAAAAAATCCTGAGAATGTGCTCCTAAAATTAGTCCTGTGGCTATCTTATAATACGCATCAGTATGATTCAGTTTCTTATATCTAAATTGAGGACAAGAAGAAATTGGCCTCACCTGCTTGAGCAACTCCAAAGATATGATGCATTGGAAGAAAAAAAATCAAAAATCTTACATAGCTACCTTGTTTTCTTAATGCATTTTCCAAGAAAAACAATTCCAAAATTATATTCATCCAGCACACTATAAAATACAGGTAGTCCTTGACTTATTACAATTGAGCCCAAAATTTATGTTGCTAAGTGAGAAATTTGTTGTGAGGTTTGTCCCATTTTATGATTTTCCTTGCCACATTTGTTAAATGAATCATTGTTAAGTGAATCTGGCTTCCCCATTGATTTTGCTTGTTGCTGCAAAAGGTGATCACGTGACCCCAGGACACTGCAACCATCATAAATATGAACCAGTTATCAAACATCCAAATATAAATCACATGACCACAGGGATTCTGCAACAGTTGTAAGTGTGAAAAATGGTCACAAGTCACTTTTTCCCATGCCATTGTAACTTCAAACAGTCGCTAAATGAACTGTTGTAAATCGAAGACTACCAGTTTACCAACAAGCAGTATGATGAAGACATGTAACAGTGAGATGGATATGAGAAATCAGATTTTTTCAGTTCGGTCTGCAGATGATGCCATAGATATCTGAATATTTTTCTTGAATTTACTTGCTACATGCAAAATGGCAACCTTCATGGGAATCATTCTTAGCACTAGTAACTCTAAACTTTAATGCAATGCAAATACAAGAGATTATGTTAGGGTGAGCCATATCTTGAAGCAGACTGAGTCAGCTACCTCAAGTGTAAAATACTGGAGGATATGTAGTAGTGATGAGGTATTGGAGGGCAGACTTGTGCTATTCCCTAGCCTAGCTGCTCTAGTTTTTTTTCCCACAAACTAGCCTTCTGCCCTTAGCTACAGTGGAGAATGTTCACCTAATTGTGATGAAGTAATATTTTATTGCCAATTCATTCAGCTTCTGTATATGTGATGGCATCTGTCTGAGGATGGAATTTTATATTTCAAACAGTTTTAATGTTTAATATGTAGGTCTTTAATCTTGTGTTTGTCCATAGTTTAAATCAGGCCAGTGTTTAGAAGACAATTATTATGGTGCCATCTAGTGGAGCACAATTTGTAATGCAGTTTACCTATAGTAATTGCTCTAAATAATGACTTAGGTATTTAGGAATCTAAACAGAAAGCTCTTGGCAATAAGCATGTATTCTTTTTGCCTTTCTTCTGCTTATTTATATAATTTATATAAGCATCTTCTGTACCTTTGATCAAGAATTTCACATAATTTGATAGGAGAGCTCCAGAATAGTAATTTTGAAATGCATTTGTTATATTGTATCTTTCAGGAGCACTGTTGAAGGTAGTCTTTGATTCTTGCAGCATACAAATGTGTTGAATAAATATTACTGATCAGTCAATTTTTAAACATGATTGCTTCATTTTTAGGACAATTACGTGTTCATATAGAGGGAGAATGGGTAATTTTCATGGGTTTTTTTTTCAGTTAGGGCAGAGACACTATATAACCCATATAGTTATATAATTAAGGGAACATTATTTATGCAGTCTGTCTTCAATTGTAACGCTCCCATTTTTCTCCATAATTGGATATCATGAACAATTGTAAGTTAATTAGAAGATCAGAACTATTTCATTTTGATAGAGCCCAATGTAGATTGACCTTAGTGTGCCCTTAGAATAGAGACGTCTGGTGGCAGGGTTAGGTAAATGTACATGTTGCCAAATCTCCACAATGTTGTACCCACGTCAGATATAGTTTTGTATGGTTATTCAGTACAAATGACTGAATAACATTTTATCCTCTGAGGTATGTTACTCCATCGTTTGTACAATTAAGTGTTCATACCATATCTTAATAAGAGTAACAATTGTTGAAAGGCAATTCTTTGCATATCCATTCAAAAGTAAGTTCTGTTGAGGTAAATGTTATATATTCCTTTTTTATTTATATTTGTTTTACATTTTTTTATTTTCTTCACTTATAAAATATGAAAATGCAAAAGCAAATAATAGGGAACAAAAGTAAGGGAAAAGGAAAAAGAAGTGTGGAAAAGGGGGGGAGGCCTTGACTTCTGACCCCCCTCTGTTGCAGTAAAATAAGGCATTAACATCGAACTTCAACTTTTTACATTTTTATAGTAGTATGAACTAGCCATTTCTTTATCAACAAATCAATCTATTCAATAAAACCTAAAATCAAAATATCGTTATTTTCCTCCTCAAGCACAAAGTTCAGAAGCTGTTTCCAGGATAAATGTTACATATTACTAACAAGTTTTTGTAACAGCTTTTGTCAATCTGCTATTTTCTAGATGTGCTAAGATCTTAGTTTCTAGAATTGTTAATCAACAGGATCAATCAGATTGGGGAAGGCTGATGTATGGATTACAATACTGGATGGATGGATGCAGTATTTCAATAAGTCATATCCCTTCACATACTGAAGCAATTAGACTTGTAATGTTACTGAACAATTAGACTTAAAATATTCTCTAATTGCAAATAGGGGCAGGGAAAAATTGAAATGTGAATGGTTTGCCAAATAAATCCAGTAAATGGTGAAGTATGATTCAACTTGGGATTCTTCTAATTCATCTAATTAGAGTTATGCTGTGCATATCTAATCAGAAGTAAATACCACTGAATTGTTAGATTCATATCAGGGAATATATAGTATTATATAGTATTATATCCTTGAATTGTACTTTCTTTGCTGCTTTCAAGTCATATTGTTTAATAAACTCATATATGGTGAATAAAGATAACGGGGTTAACATTTTGTGTTGATTTTTCTCAATTCTTTGGCTTGTGGTGCTCTTATTAAAAGAGGGTATATAAGTTAGCAATTAATCTGGAAAATTAACTGCCAGTTTTATTAACCAAGTTGTTAACACTTGTTCTGAAACATGATCAGAAAAGCTTACTAAGTTATTTAAAAATCACATCAATATTCTAATCAATAAATCATGAAAACTCAACAATGTGCTATTATATAACAAACACTATCAGACAGAAATTAAATAAATGTAAATTGATTGATACAGGAAAGTCATGTCAAGCAAATTTCCCTAAAAGAAGTGTAGCACTAATACCCAGAGAGCTTTTGCATGCCATTTTATCCCTCCCTATTATTGTGTTACAAAACAAAACAAACTTTCAGAATGGAGATCAGATATCATCCCTACCAATAAAGCCAAAAGCTATGGTACAAAAGGAAGGAGGTCAGACTTCCGGTTCCAGTTCACGGTGACTCTAGTCGCATGGGGAGACTTCTCTCCTCAGCGGCTAGCCTTCCCTCTGCCAGTTGACTCTTATACGGGTCAAAAGTCACCCTGGAGGGTGCGACTTCCGTCGAAGAGGCTTTGGCTTGGCTACAGAGGAGCGGTGGCTCCTCCAGCTGTCTGCGCGATCTCTGAGGGCCGACAGAGAAGAAGATCAGCCAGTAAAATGGCCGAACACCCTGCTGCTTCAAACCGCAAGTCAAGAACATCTAAGCTTTAAGAGCCCCTGTGGTGAATCCAGGTGAGATTTTTCCTTGTTACTCTCTCTACTTGACTTTGTTTTCTGCCTGTAAGAGCCTTGTTGGAATTATTTCCCTGGCTAGAGAAAGCAGCTTTGATATTTTTGGGAAAGAGCGTTTTATAAGATTAAAATTTATTTTCATATTTTTGGGGATACAGAAATCTCTCTCTTTTTTGTTCTGCTAAGGACTGTACTATTACTTGGTGCTGGAAGATTATTCCTTCTTTCACACTATACTTTTAAAGATAGAATCAAAACAATGCTGTCTGGAAAAGATTCTTCTTTAACTTACTGAGGACATCTAGTGGCGAAAATTTAATATTGCATCTTCTGGTTATTTTTTTGAAGTAAAATCAGACCTGACCTTCAAATCATTTTTGGAAAAAGATAAGCTGAACTGTGGGAATTGTGAGGGTGGATATAGATTAACTCTTACCAAATACAGCCTCCACAAACAAAACAAATAAACAAAACAAAAAACTATTACTAACTACTTTCAAAATGGAGAATTAAAATTATAAGTTTATATTGGAAAAGATACATGAGGCCACTGCAGAAATTTGTACTATACTGAAAGAATCTACTTCAGAACTAAGATCTAGAAATTTCACTTCAAACATTCAAATGGATGACCAGACTACACTTGACTATTCTACAAACCAAATTATATTAGAAGAGGAATCAACTGAGATAAAAGAGGAACTTATTTTACCCTACAAACCTTTCATCTGTAACTTTGAGGAACAGAAGAAGCAAAGACTGAGATTTGAAACTATAAAGCAACGATAATTAAAAGAGGAGAAAAACATACGTCTGATGCAGAGGATGGGACTTTTATTTCTTCAAAGGTCATTACAAGCAACAAAAATAGACTTACTGATTGAAAGGGAAGTGTGTTTATGGAAGCCTGCCTGGTACAGGAAAAAACCTAGAATTAGACTTAAAAGAGAAATTTAAAACTGTAATGGACT